TGTACAACTGTCAAAAAATGATGATGTTAGCACACTGATGACAATTTGCGAAGTGACACTTGGTATGACTGCGAAGTGACACAACTGGTATGACATAAAAGTTTGTATGCACCACGGGTACTAATAGATATATACCCTCGGGCGACTTACGAACCCTCGGGCCAGAGGCCTTCGGCTTTGTAAGAGTGTCGCCCTCAGGGCATAATCATCTACTTAGTGCCCTTGATACATAAATAACTATTTTGCTCTACCTATAGCGTCAATTTATTTACACAATTAAACATTCTCTAAGGCCCGGTTTATTGGATTTCTAATAATAAGTTATCAGGTGAACTATCTGACGGTACTTTTCTGATTATCAACGCAAAGCAAGGGGCATAAAAGGCAGCACACCACACAAGACTACAAGACACTACAACGAAACCAAAAACCAAACGACCATAACAAACGACGAGCCGAGTATGAAGTACAAGTACGACGCCACCTGACGCCACAAACGAAAACGAAGGGAACGTTGTTGTACAGTGTTGCCAGATGAATTTCGTGAAAGATAATCCGTGGTAACAAAGGGTGATATTTTTTTCCTGACAAATTTAATTACATAATATATAACAATAAGCATGAACTAATAGAGAAAAAATGCTGGTTATCAAAAATTATAAAATTAAATATTATTAAATTCTATTAAGGAAATAAACATCTTTAAAAAGTAACAGCTGTTACAATTATAATAAAGTGGCAACACTGTAGGTGTGCCGCGAAAATTCGATTATACCTCTGCGAGCGCGGGAATTTCAAAATAGACTTAATATTTTTTGTTAGGAAACAACGCTAAATGAAATAAGTGCAGGATACGACACTTGGAAATTAAACCTATAAAATATTAATGTTTTTTTCTTTATATTTTCCTGATTCAAAATAAACACCAACAACGTCTAGGAAAAAACGTTAATTCGACGTCACATATACTAACGTCTCAATAACAACGTTTATAAAACGTTAAACCTAATGACGTTGACACAACGTTACGTCATGTAACGTTATCCTACAGTCGAGAACGTTAGTACACGTTCAGGACCTGAAGCCAACGTTTCGTGAACGTTTTCTAACGTGTAGTTGCTACTTGGGAAGCGATTGAGTTGCGGGGTGAAACAAGAACAATTGCCTTAGATATATCTAAAGCATTCGACAAAGTTTGGCATGAAAATCTGCTCAGCAAGCTCAAAGCAATGGGATTATCGTCGAAACTTTGCACTTGGTTTGAAAGTTACCTAAAGGACAGATCCATTTATGTTGCACTGGATGGCCAGAACTCCAACTCTTACCAAATAAATGCTGGTGTGCCACAGGGAGCAATCCTTTCGCCAACTCTTTTCCTGATTTACATAAATGACCTCATAGATAAAACAGTAAATCCACTTTATTGCTTTGCAGACGATGGCAATGTAGTCTCCTCACTCATACCACCCACAGGTCTTTCCGCACGTGAATTCCATCATCTTAGACTAACTCAAGTATCGCAGATAAATAACGACCTGGAGATAATAGAGGACTGGGGTAACAAAAACCTTGTACAGTTCAACGCGCAGAAAACCCAAGCAGCTCTGTTTTCAAAAAAGACCAGCACCGGTGAGCCAAACATCGTGCTATCTGGAAGTGCTGTCACATTACAGAGTCAGTTGAACATCTTGGGGGTTACTGCAGAGACCAACATGTCTTGGCACAGTCACGTGGCAGATATTGCTAAAAGGGCGTCCCAAAAGCTGGGAGTGCTATTTCGTACAAGACATCTGTACACACCAAGCCAATTGCTGACACTCTACAAAGCCCAGATTCGACCAACTATGGAGTACTGTTCACATATATGGAGTGCAGCACCCAAACATACCTTAATGCTTTTGAATACCGTGCAAAAACGAGCTATCAAGCTGATCAATGACCCCGCACTTACTCGTAACTTGGATGGTCTCGAACATCGCAGATCTGTGGGCGATTTATCTCTCTTCTACAGGTACTATCACAGAAAATGCTCTGAAGAGTTGGCACGTATGATTCTACCGAGAGTAGCACCTACCAGGCGAACCCGTCAAACAGACGGTAACCATGGATTTACTGTCAAACTAGAGGTACCAAGAACCTGATTATATCAGAATTCATATCTCTGGAGAACAGCATCGCTGTGGAATAAACTCCCTGCGACGGTTTTCCCTGCAGGTTACAACCTGAACCGTTTCAAGACCAACATACACCGACATTTCCGCGCACTTGCCGCTTCTCGAGCGTGATAGGACATTTCCTTGCGAGTGTGCATATCCGTAAAAAAAAAAAAAAAAAGTATAGTGATGAAGTTATTTCATAAAAAACTTGAAAATAATAAAAATATAGTATATATCATATTATGACAACTGGACAATATTAAAATCAAGAGGTTTAGCGAATAGGTATTACCGAGGGTAGTACTGGAAGTACAAAGTAGGAAAGTAATCGGTAAGAGGGGCGGCAAAAATATCTTTTGCACGGGGCGCTGGAATGTCTGGAGCCGGCCCTGACAGTAGTCTTTAAAATCATATTTTTTTTCACTTCTTGCAGCTACCTTTACCTTCTTGTTACCTCTCACTGAATCATGAAATTATTTGCAAGTAGGTACATCTAAGAATAATTATTCTTCATTTGCAGTTCTGCCTTGCTTGATGTGTTCAATGCATACAATCGATTACGCGCATCAGTCCACAAAGCTGAACGCATTGAAAAAATCCTTTCAGCATCATCATTGGACCCAAATATAGAAAATACAAATTGCAAAATGATCCAGAAATTTTTCAACTCAGTATAGATAGTCAATAATAATAAATTCCATTTTCAAGGAATGTATGATTTTCTTTATAAACCAGAACCAGGTTTATAGCCGGCATAATTTGAAAGAATTCTTCATTAAGGAGATGTAAATTAAGTACAATAGGCGTCCTGCAATAGGTTGTTACAGGACACTGAACAATGAACCCCAAATGGTGGACGTCCACCGAAATGCAGGACGGTTGGCAACCCTATCTCCGGGACTCCAAGATCCAGGAAAACCTAAGAATGTCCAAGTTCAGGAAAAGTAGCGAAGCCCTTGTCCGAGCATTAGAACCGGAAGCAATCTTTGGTGCCTCACGACCACTGATCTAAAAAATAAATGGATAAACAATCATACGGCTTGATTGGCAAAATTTGGGGTCAATATTCTACGAACAGTTGTGCAACGGAACAGCCTAACGTCTGCGCAGTGTCTTATCTATCGAACAACTGTTCTAAATTTTGAAATTCCTTCATTTTCATTGGCCAGATTTTGTGCACACACCTCAGACATGTATCTACTGCGCACGCTCACAGCTGTCCCAGTCAGTTGTTTTTGTTTCGATTATGACCTCGTAAATTAGCAGCATTAGAAGCGTTCTTTGTTTATCCATTTATTTTTGAGATCAGTGCTCACGACTCAGAGTACGAGCAGTGTCCATTGAAGACCCAAAAGAGAATGATAGCTTTGAAACCAAAATGAGTAATTTCATGGAGAGAATGGAGAAACTGTTACTAGAAAATAGAAAAATGAGGAACGATTCCAGACAAACACCAACACCGAGAAACCGAGTAAAATGTTACCGGTGTCAAATGCTTAGACACATGCAATGGGATTGTAGGCTACGGATGTCCTCTCCATCTAGAAATCGTTCTCAAAGCTTTTGGAGATCCAGAGACGCTAGTCCTAAACATCGACCTGGAAACCCACATGAGAGGAACACTAGTCCAGCTGTGAGAAGAACGGGCCTGATTGTTGATGACAAGTGGACTACCAAACAAATGAGAGAAGATCAGGAGGCAGACCAGGACATCGGCCAAATTCTACATCTTAAAGAAAATGATGAATGTAGGCCAGAATGGAGGGAAGTGTCTAACAAGAGCTTGATTTACAAAGCGTTGTGGGCCCAATGGAACTCTCTGGCCGTAGAAAATGGTTTGCTCAAAAGAGTTTGGGAAAGTGCCGATGGGAAATCCACTAAGAACCAACTGGTTATCCCAAAAGACCGAGTGGAAGATGTATTAAAAGAAATACACGACGGAACCTCAGGGGCACATTTCGGAGTTAACAAGACTTTGGACAAAATTCGGGAACGTTTTTACTGGGTTCACTACCATGAAGACGTTAAAAGCTGGTGCCGAAAATGCGACATCTGTGCTACCAGTAAAGGTCCTAAACTAAAATCTCGGGGGCCCATCAGCGTTGCCAACTTAGCGGATTTCCCGTCATATCTAACGGATTTTGTTGGAGGGAAACGGAAAACAAACAGTTTCAACGGATGATGGATTTTCTAACGGGAACAAATTGTCCGTTTAAAAATTCTAAATTATGTTCTGTAAATGTAATAAACTGGTTGTTTAGCGATTCAAGCTACTTTTGGTCTGTAAACAAGCCATTACGGAAACGTTGATACGACTAGCCGGATCACCAGCTGATATCTGTCTTTTTTCAATGGTGATTATTGAAAAAAGATAAAATACAAACACCTGAGGCGTTTTCTCGCATTCATTTTTTTGAAACTGGTTCAAAACTGTTTTGAAACAGTACATTCTCACGATAAACCCATGACGTCGCATCAAAATTGGTTCAAATTGTTTCGAAATGCAATCTAATCCACATTTTCAAACCATTTTTTCACGCCGAGAAATTATGATGTCATGGTGACATTAGGTACTTAAACCAGTTTTGAAAAATGTTTCGAAACATTTGAGACGCGAGAAAATGCCTCCGGTGATCGGGTGAAAGGGATCAGTGTTTCTAAAAACGCCTAAAATCAAATGGCACTGCCGTCAATGTCGTTAACTCTGCATTATTTGATTGGCACTACTTAATAAATTTTATTTGTTTAGCGCATTTCGCATGTTTCATTCTGACGGATTTTATTGGCGGGAAAAAAAATGGTTTAACGGATTTTTGACGGAAATCTACAGCAAAGTTAACGGAACGGGGGCCAGCTAAATATCAGTTCAATTTTTCTTGTTTAACCAAGATAATTTAAAAAATAAAAGAAATAAAAATACATAAATTGTCTTTATTTATACACTAATCGTTCTAAATATATTAAATCCACTTTCGGCTGTACTAATGACAACTCCGGGAAGTTGTTTGTGCCAGTGCAACTCTTTGATGTTCTTTTGTCCTTGGTGTATAAATAGTAATTGAGGAGGAACTCCCTAAAAGAAAAAAAAAAAAATTACAATAATGTAAGTTTGTTTCAACATATTGTATCAAATTCTTACATCAATTTCCACGCCTTCAGCTTCAGCATCTTTCTCAACTGACAAATCCCACAAAGCAATTTGATTATCATCTCCACCGGAAGCAAAAACGGCCGAATCGGTAGGATGCCATTCCACAGTAGTAACAGGCTCAGTATGATGTTTAAAAGTAGCCAAAGGCGTTTTACTTTGAAACGTCCTCAAATCCCAAACGTGTAAAAACCCGTCGTCGCCTCCACTGACAATAAACGGCTCGTTTTTGTTCCAACTTATGACGTTCACGTCACTTTCGTGGGCCCTTTCGCACGTTATCATGCATGCTTTGGCCGGAGTGGCTCTGGTGTCCCAAATTCTGATACTTTTGTCCACTGAGCAACTGGCTAGAACGTTTCTTTCGTTGGGTGACCATTGTAAGTCTTCCACGGAATTTTGGTGGCCGATCAGCGGTCTCTGATCCACTTGCCAACTTGAATCTGAAATAAAATTGATTTTTATAATCTAAGAGCGAAATACCATCCACTCAATCTCGATAATTGAGATGGAAAAACTGAGAATTAACTTGACAAGAAATGTAGAAATTTAGAGTATTATTGATAAAATGAATGAAACATTGGAGTTCTAGTTATTACCTGATGGATTCCAAATGTGAATGTCGTGCTTGCAATCGCCGGTAGCCAAAACTCCAGTCATTGTCGGACTCCAGTCCAGACCGAAACCTTCGACGCTGTGACCGGTAAAAGTGAAAATTGGCGTGATTGTATTTTGTTTGTTTTCTTTGTTGTACTGTGACAGCGTCTGGTCGGATTCTACCGCTTGGATTTGGGGCATCAAGTTCCAGATGTTCACTCGGCCCAGTTCGCTCCATGACGCTGCCAGGATTCTGTTGTTCATCACTGAACTCTGGAAATAAGTATTTGAAATTATTTTAAAGCAAGATATAATTGAACTGTTGACATTTGTAGCATCTTAGTACTCACCCTTATCCTGTTAACGCAGCCCTGATGTTTGACCAAAGCCCCAATCATCTTAGGATTAGTCTCCTCGTCATTTTCCTCATCCGATTCTTCATCTTCATCGTCGCTTTCTTCGGCTTTAGAAGTTTTATGCAAATTTGTCAATTTCATTACTAGAATGTTGTTTACGTGAGTTTGTGGAGCTTGAGTTCCGGCCACCACGTACGCTGTTAAAGGGTAACTTTCCCTATTATCACCTGGAAAATATAAACCTAAATTAGAGCAAAATTTGAATTATTCAATTACTAACCGAGAGCATCTTGAATGACATCAAAACTGAGACAAGGGGCGCTGGTTTGAGCCTGATGGTACATCACGTAAGCGGTGGGATCGCACGTCAGCTCCTCGCCCTGTTCCAGAGGCTTCCCTGGCAAATAAACTTCGCGTTTTTCTTCAGGCTCTTCCTTATTTTCGTCCATTTCCTGGTCTTCGTTTTCCGAAGAGCTGTCGCTGCTCACGTCCATTTCTGCGTTAGACATTTTCACCCTCTTATTTATTAATTGAATTTGGAGAAAACAGTCTGGTAAAATATGAAGCACATTACACAAATAATCACAAGAAAAGTAAGGTTAGAATTATAAGAAATCGAAAAATGACATTTGTGTTTGTTAAGCTCAGTAGCGTTTTCTTTTAGCTTGTGTATTTTGGTTCTAAAATAATAGGTTCGTTCCAACCCAGCCAAAAACCGTACAATGTACGGTCACGGTCATGCGCCATATGTTAAACGCGTTCCAACCGAGAGATGATCGTTTACCGTACAGTTTCGTTGGCGTTCCAACCAAACCTGGGATCGTTCGAGAACTGGTTTTAGCATCGTCATTTCGATCCCGAGTGGAAAGCCAGAACCGCGTGGACTGATTCATGACTGACATGCGTAATTCAATTTTTGTCACCTGTTTTTGTTGTTCATGTTGTTGTTAAACAACCAATTTCCAATCTAACTTATAAAACTGTAGCATTTTTATTTTTTCAAGTGAAAAAAAGTACAAAATTTATTATCAGCTATTTGCTAGTCCTTGATGTTATCAGCTTGCAAGGATTCAGTTTTAGATTCTTGATAATGAATCAGCGTTGGTGTTCGATTTTCCTTTTTTATATATTATTTTGTAATCCTAATCCTATATTCTTCTATTTTAATTTGCAAACAAACAAATTTAGGGTTAAAGTTATTTGAACTGTCGTCATTACGAAAACGATCATGAAACCGTTCCAACTACCCGTTGTTTCTGTACCAAGATAAAACCGTGCAAGGTCAACGCATGCGCCTGCAATCGATCCTAACAGTTCCGAAACCGTTTCATGACGATACGAAAACGGGGGGTTGGAACGAACCTAATGTATCCATCTTTTCCGGACGATTTTCGTCATTTTTCAAATCATTATCCACAACGCCAGGGGACATAATTCACACGAAAATCTTATACCAGATCAAAGCAACTGAAAAAAAATAAAATTACCAAACTCTTAAACTTTTTCCCGAATTTTTTTAAATATTCGTGGGGAGCCCAAAGCACGTGCTTCCAAAGGACAAGTTACCCCCACTTATGTTACAGAAACAGGGGCCCCCTTTTTTCGAAAATAATGTGTCTTTGTTTATTTGATTATAAAAGAAAAAGATAGAAAATAATAGATTTTTTTTTCTTTAAACAAACATGTTATCGAACACGCTTTTGTTTTTAGCCGATTGTTTTACTTGACACTTGACAATATTTTTGTTTCTTTCTATTTCATTTCAAAAAGAGACAAAAAATAGGAGATTACTAATAGCGTTTTCTTTTGGCAAATTTATGGCGTTTTCCATTTGTCGACCCAGTGCACCAAGAGAATTGTTCCAGTGCAGTGAGGAAAACAAAAATGAATGGGTGGAATCACGAAGAGTAGAATTCTACTTTCATGACGTCACTCGCGACCTATTTATCGCGTACAGTACAGGCGATGATCATGGTTGCTAGGCAACCTAACGTCATGAAACTAGAATTCTACTTATTGTGCTCCCAGGATCTTCAATAACATTTTATTTAAAAAAAGCGTTTAGAGTGTTTACGAAGTATTCAAAGTGAGCGAGTCGTTCGGAATTGTATTCTTTTTGACATCTTTTCACTCTGTTCGGATTTTTGGAGCAAAGAAAGTAAAAGCTTATTACTCTAACTACTCTGTGAGTACTCTTAATATTCGAATTTGGTTATTTAGTGTAGATAGAATTACTATGTTCACATTAGTTATACAAAGTTGCCAATAAATGGAACTTCGAGAATTTAAAAAAAAAATCAAAATCAAAGTTAAAAGTGCATGCTTCAGAATCTCCTATTTCTATATTAAAACTAATGAAATAGCCTTATACCGGAGCAGCATTGAACGTACTCCAGAAGATTTATTTTTGAAAATGGTAGCAACTCTTTTGACACCTTTCACTCTGAAATTCTTCGGGTTTGAATATTGGAGCAAATAGTATAAATTCCATGTTTTTATTGGAGTGAAAGGAAGCAAAAATACAAACGGAGTACTTGGAGTGAATAAGCCGAACCCAACCTTGGTGTAACTTTGCTAGGATTTCAATTTTATAGTTGCACCAGAACAATTTTTTTGGAATAAGCTACATTAACTCCAGTCCGTATAGCCAAATGTAAAAGCAGTTACACTTTTTATTGTGAAAAGCCATGCTCGAATGGCTAAAGTAATAATTAGAGTGCACTGATTGAATAAACAGTTATAGAGTAATACTCTTTCTGTACGAAGTAGTTAGAGTAAACAAGCCAACTTTAGTGCAGCACTTTGTGTCAGTTAGAGTAACACTTTTCGCACTGTACAGTGCAAATTACTCGAAACTGTTCAATTTGAACTCGTTCCCATAATCTAAACTTAACAAATTATATCAAAAATGTATTGTTCTGAAACAATGATTATAACCGAACTTTTTGCTCCATTTAAATAAACACCAAACGTCGAAATTCTAATTTTCGAACTGGAACAATTTTAGAGTCAATTTCTACATTCATTACGTCAGGTTGTCTAGCAACCGTCATTTTTGCCTGTACTGTACGCGATTATTAGGTCGCGCCTGACGTCATAAAAGTAGAGTTCTACTTGTCGTGATCCCAGCCCATTTAAAAATTGATTTTGCGTTTTTAGTAATTCTACTCTCACTATTCCATGTGCACTGACTCTTTTTGATCTGTTTAACTATTCGAGCTACCTTGACTAGTGTAATTCTGCTCTATTTGCACTAATTAGATATAAATTTGCATTATTCATATTTGATTTCCTTCTATTGTTCAAGTAACTCCAATTGTTTGGATTGCTTTAATTTCTATTCCATCTGCACTAACTCTGTTCTGTTTGCACTGCTCTGATTGTTACTGCTCGAACTACTCTAATATACTATTTAATAATGAATTTATTAACTATAATTGTTTTTAAGCCATAGTATGAACCATTCGCTTCACGAGACAACGCCCTTTATATAAATCGAGTTCCAAATTGTCTTAAAACTGTTCTGTTATTGTTCCATGTCTATCTAGGACTGATTTCATTGTTCTCAAATCATTTGAGAACAGTTCCGAACATACATTTTGTTCTAGACCAGTCATATTTTGTCTCAAGATCCTCATATAAATCAAATTCCTTATTGTTTTGGAACTGCTTCATTACTTTTTTTGCTCTGGAACACATTTTTGATGGATCTTGAATCATTTGAAATAATTCTGAACGATTAAATTACCGTTTGACTATACAGAGTGGAATAAATGGAGTTCGCTCCAAAAATTCCAGTTTGAAAATTAGAATTTCGACACTTTGGTGTTTATTTAAATGAAGCAAACTTAAGACAAAATATTTCAAGTTCGGTTACAATAACAATACATTTTTAAAATAATTTGTTGGTTTAGATTATTGGAACAAGTGCAAATTGAACAGTTTCGAGTAATTTGCAACGCACAATGCAAAAAGAATTACTCTAACTGACACAAAGTGCAATACTAAAGTTGGCTTGCTTACTCTAACTTCTCCGTACATTCAGAAAGAGTATTACTCCATAATTGTTTACTCAATCAGTGTACTCTAATTATTACTCCAACCATTATGATAAAAAAAGTAACTGCTTTTACATTTGGCTATACGTAGTGGAGTTAATATAACTTACTCGAAAAAAATTGTTCTGGTGCAACTATAAAATTGAAATCCTAGCAAAGTTACACCAAAGTTGAATTTAGCTTATGCACTCCAAGTACTCCGTCCGTATTCTAACCTCCTTTCATTCCAATAGAAAATATGGAATTTACACTATTTGCTCCAATATCCAAAAAAAAAAAGAGTTTCAGAGTAAAAGCTGTCAAAAGAGTTGCTACCATTTTTGAAATAAATCTTCTGGAGTACGTTCAATTCTGCTCTGTTTGCTCCAAAAACAAATAGAATCAAAAAGGAGTATTATTCGTAAACGTACTGCCGACTTTTTTACTCCAGGCTCACTTGTAAACGTTTGCTCTTTTTACTCTAAAGAGATCAAAAACTATTCTGAATCGGTATTAGGCGATTTCATTAGTTTTAATATAGAAATAGGAGATTCTGGAGTATGCACTTTGAACTCTAATTTTGTTAGCTCAATGATCGGAGTAAAAAGAGTAAGTTTATTTGCGCGCAATAGACTTTTTTTCAAAATTCTTGAAGTTCCATTTAATCGCAACTCTGTATAACTTATGTGAACATAGTTACTCTATCTACATTAAATAACCAAATTCGAATATTAAGAATACTCACAGAGTAGTTAGATTAATACGTTTTTTCACTTTCTTTACTCCAAACACCCGAACAGAGTAAAAAGATGTCAAAAAGAATACAATTTCGAACGACTTGCTCACTCTAAATACGCCGTAAACACTCTAGACTAGGATCACAACAAGTAGAATTCTATTTTCATGACGTCAGGTTGCCTAGCAACCGTCATCATTGCTTGTATTGTACGCGATAAATAGGTCGAGGGTGACATCATGAAACTAGAATTCTACTTGTTGTGATCCCAGTACTTAAATAAAATTCACACGACTGTAATATTCCATCAAAATGAGTATTTAAAACAGAATAAATAGAGTACTTTACTACTCTATTTACACTAAAAAGTCATTTTCAAATAGTTGGAGTTTTCGGTTCGGATACCGTTTTGGAGTAAGATTATTGGCGTTCGGCATAAAAAGAGCAGTTCCATTCTCAAAGTTTTAAGTAAGCGTAGCGTTTTCGAATTGCCTTTTTGGAGTCGCGATAAATAGAGTTCTATTTGCTTTGACGTAAAATAAATAGAAATGTCAAAAATAATGAAGTTCCTGAAATAAGCCTGGCCGGGGATTCTAAAATCACGATTCGACATACGACTCGACAACGAGACTATTTTTCCGACGATTCTAGGTTAGAAATCTCATTGGAATTGTACCTTTCGAGACGACAAGGCCGGTATCGTTATCGAGTCGTGTGTCGAATCGTGATTTTAGAATCTCGGCCTGCTAGTACTCATAACTGCGAAATTCGCATTTTTTTGACATTGCTTCGACAATCTGACGTTTGATACACGTCAAATTTTCAACGCAATGTCAAAAAAATGCGAATTTCGCAGTTATGAGTACTAGACTTAAGTAGAGAAATAATTGTTAAATCTAAGCTGTTTTCTCACGGTGGAACTGGTTTAATCCGATTCGATTCGGTTCGAACCTGTACATTCTTGCGTTGAACTAGTGACGTCACATTGAACCTGGTTCAAAAAAGTTCGTACTTTTCCGTTGACATGCGACTGTGTTCAAACCTTCCATTTTCTCGCGTTCACCAGTGATGATGTCATTTACAAATTGGTTCCAACCCTAGGTTGAACTATTCGCCCCGCGAGAAAACGTTTCTAGTTTCCATTAAAATACATAGAACGTTTTTTTTTATAGTAAGAATATGGATTCACAACTACTCCAGGCAGTTCAAGATTTGTGGTTTGTAGATTACCAAATTTCTTGCAACTGAAACGTCGAAAAATATTCAAATTAGGGTGGCTTTTTAATTTTTCGCTTTTTCTGATCTCAAATCAGATTCTGGACATTGCATTGCAGTCTATTATTATAGTAAATGAATTCATTGATTAGTAGCACATTGGAGTAATTCGAACAGTAACAATCGGAGTAGTGCAAATAGAACAGAGTTAGTGCAGATGAAACAGAAATTAAAGCAATTCGAACACTTAGAGTAACTAATTTTATTTAAAAACTAAAAACCTTTCAATGTATATGAATTTGCACTGTAATCGGTTCGAAATGTGTTTAATCTCCGAACAAATTATAGAAGCAGTGATCAGCTAAATGAAAACGCTATTGTTCCTGAAAGTGTCAATTCAAAAAAAGAGAGGTTATGTTTTTGTTTTTATCGTTGAAATGTTTGTAAACAAATAATTTGTGTCATGATAAATACGTATCATTGAAATCATGGAACTCACAGAACCGAGACCGAAAAAACACTGCAAACTACCAACCAATTTACCATTACCAGTTATTTATAGAAAAGACGGAAACCTAAAAAAATTCTCGGCACATTTCAATGGATTCTCTGTTATCCTGGACAATTTAGATGACATGAAAACTATAGTTTCAATGGGCTACTTCGGCAAAGCGAATTTCTCACGTAGTTATCCACAATTCACCCAAAACCAACCGAAAATCATAAGACAAAGACAATTTGTGACTAGAAAGCAATTTACAGGCAACCAACCAAATAAAGTAATTACAGTTCCAGATAGTGACTCAGAAAACGACGATTACTTCACAAATTTGCAACCGAAATACGAAATTGATTGTTCAGGACTCAGTGAAACTGTTTGGTTGAGTCTGGAAGAGGCATTTTTCCTTGCTAGTGCTGTAAAATGCCTGGATGTTAGTTGTAGTGATGGAAAACTATTAGACTGTGACCAATTGTGGGCTTTATTTCAAGAAACTGATTCATTTTTTGTGAGGAATTATGTGGTTTATTTTTACTATCGGGCTAAGAATTGGGTGGTGAAACCTGGGATTAAGTTTGGAGGCGATTTCAGTTAGTCAAGTGCTAGATGACGTCACACACATAAGCTCAATGATATGTTTGTCCTCCATCTGTCAAAAAGGAAAATTCAATATAGCGTGGCGGCCAGCAAGTTCAACTCAACTATCAATATTAAATGCCATTAATTGGCTGGCTTCATGTTTTGCTTACAGCTTTAATTTTGATTATTCAATAGAATGTCTGGCCGTCACGCCATCTTGAATGTCACGTCGTTTGGATTGCCTAATCGAAACTCACCTTATCGGAAGTGAGGTTATGTCTGTGACGTCAGCTAGTACCTAGTTGAAATATTTTGAATTTGAAAATATATAAGTTTTCCTTTTAGTGTTATATAAACAAGGACCTCCATTTTATCATTCTTCCTATATAATAATTATAGAAGTAATTGATTCAATTAATGGAGAACGGAACAGCATTTTAACTAATAGGTGTATGGATAATAGATCAGTGTTGGGCTTGAATAGGCTTTGTGAGACTGCTGGAAAAGTAAGAAAATAATATTTCTATTAGGAATTAGGTGCTAGCTGACGTCACACACATAACCTCAATGACATGTTTGTCGAAGTGAGGTTATGTGTGTGACGTCAGCTAGTGCCTAATTTTTTTTTTTATTTCAGGAATTGGTAATATGTAGAGTGAAATGGCCAAATAATCAAATATCTTATGAGAATTTTAGTAACATTGAAATACAAGAGATTCTTGTGAAACGGTGGATTGCTTCGCATCATCAGGAACAAGAAGTTATTTAGATTTATTTCTAATCATTTAAATACTTGTAAAGGTATTGGCGCACCCAGGGAGGGCATCGGGCCAAGCCCCCCTCCCCCTAGGCAGCCCTTCCAAAACTGTATTTTTACTTATAAAAAAATGTATTAACATTAGGGCGTGGCATCTTGGCACTTCAAACCTATGTAGGGCCCTTCCTAAAGATATTTTCTGGGTGTGCCACTGTGTAAGAGAATCTTTAATCCTGAAATTAATATAATTATTTTTGTTCTAAAATGATGAGTACTATATTTTTACCCAAAAGAAAACGCTATTAGAAAATGACATATAATAGGCAATTATTCGCGAGGATAACCTAAGGCGTTTTTTTCGCAGGGGTGTATGGTTGAAACTACGGTTTTCAGCCAATTTGTAGATGACGTCATCACTGGTGCACGCAAAGAAATGGAAGGTTTGAACACAGTCTTATGTCAACGGAAAACAAGCTAATAGTCCGGTTCAAGCTTTTTTGAACCACGTTTAATGTTACTTCACTGATTCAACGCAAGAATGTATAAGTTCGAACCGGATTGAACCAGTTCCACCGCGAGAAAACAGCTTGGATCTAAAAATCTTTTCTCTGGAAAATTTTTTTTTTAGAGCGACTCCAGTCAATGTTCTGACTCTACTCCAACAGTTCAAATATCTACTCCAAGAGCTTGGGTTATTTTAAATAAAATTCTATTTTAGTAACTTCATTATTTTTGATATTTCTATTTATCTTATGTCAAAACGAATAGAATTCTTTTATGTCCGATTGCACCGTTTCTCTTAACTGAGGCTTAACGATAACTATCCCTTTAATTGACAATTTTGCATGGGAAAATGTCACTTTGGAAAATGGTTATCTTTAAGCCTCGGTTAAGAGAGACGGCGCAAACGGGCATTAATCGCAACTCCAAAGTGGCAATCTAAAAACGCTACTTTTACTTGAAACTGTCAAAATTTTGACGTTAAAATCAATTCTTGCTATGACAATTTATTACTCTATTTACTCTAAAAAATCTTTTCTCTTAAAGAGGAACTTTTTTAGAGTGACCCCTGTTCTAAGAACAATGTTCCGACTCTACTTCAACATTTCAAATATCCGCTCCTAGAGCCTAAATTATTTTCAATAGAATTTTATTTAGGCGACGTTCCGTAAGTTAACCAAGATTCTTGGTTTTTCCGGTTCCCGTTCCGTAACCTAACCACTCCCGAAATCTGGTTAGGTTATGAAACGCGGTTCCACACATAAACCGCATTCTCAGGAAACAGACTGTCACCATAGACGAACCGCTCCATACCAATCGGTAACTCTGGTTAAGATACGGAACGCCGCCTTAGTAACTTCATTATTTCTGACATTTCTTTTTATCTTACGTCAAAACGAATAGAATTCTATTCATGGCGACTCCAAAGAAGCAATCCGAAAACACTTCTCGTACTTGAAACTGTCAAATTTTTCTACTTACTCTAAAAAATCTTTTCTTTTGAAGAGAAACTTTTTTAGAGTGACTTTAACAATGTTCCAACTCTACTCCAACATTTCAAATTTCTACTCCAAGAGTTCGGATTATTTTGAATTGAATTCTATTTTAAGAAGAACTTCATTATTTTTGACGTTTCTATTTATCTTACGTCAATACAAATGGAATTCCGACTCCAAAAAAAGGCAATCCGAAAACACTACGCTTACTTGAAACTTTGAGAATGGAACTATTCTTTTTATGCCGAACACCAATAGTCTTACTGCTCTTACTCCAAAACGGTATCCAAATCGATAACTCCAACTGTTCGAAAATGACTTTTTAGTGTAAATAAAGTAGTAGACTACTCTATTTACTCTTTTTTAAATAATCATTTTGATAAAGTATTACAATCGTTTGAATTTTATTCAAGTACTGGGATCATAACAAGTAGAATTCTAGTTTCATGACATCACCCTCGATCTATTTATCGCATACAGTACAAGCGATGATGACGGTTGCTAGGCAACCTGACGTCATGAAAGTAGAATTCTACTTGTCGTGATCCCAGTTTAGGCTCTTGAATCACATTTTATTTAGAAATATAAGAAAAAAAGTTTATTGCAAACAAATAAACGTACTCTTTTTACTCCGATCATTGAGCTTACAAAATTGGAGTTAAAAGTGCATACTCCAGAATCTCCCATTTCTATATTAAAACGAATGAAATCACTAGCATAGCCTGAATCACAAACATTCCTTCGAGGTCTGCGGGTGACGTCATCACTAGAAACTGCTTATCGTGACGTCATTCGCAAACCCTGAATTTGACGATGAGGTAGTGTAACGCTCTTTTGTTAAAGGACATACTGGGCCTTTTGAAATGGCATCAACAACTCATCAAAAAAAAAAATATCCTATGACCCCACTATTAAGTTGGCGAATTATCCAGGGTACATACAACGTAGTTCCATGGATATACTGTTTTTACACATTGTCGTTTACAACGTTGTTCCAACATAGGGTTCAATTGTCGCCACTGTGGTAATAGAGTCACTGTAACTGGGTAGTGGAGGTTTGGTAGCTTGCTGTCTCTTTCTGTTTTATGTCAAAAGGGAATTTTCCGCGCTGTAACCACAAGTAACCAGGTATGATCATACTATGACGTCATGGTATCTCATTTGACATATTAAACGGTGAGGTATGAGGTAACCATAAGAAGAAAAAAAAATGGTATGATGTAACTACAAGTAAAAATGTTACATGGTTACAGCGCGGAAAATTCCCTAAAGTCAAAATGTACCAAACTTCTTAGACACTGAATTCGGATGAGATTGTGAAGCTACGTCACTCACGTATTAATTGGTTAACCATTCGCCTACCAAACAGCAGATGAAAATCTGGGACGAAATCGCCTTGTGATATTATACAGGGTGTCCCACAAGGTTTGTCCCAAATGGTAACTTCGGAACGCATCATCGTACGTATGTTTCACTGTATAATTTTTTATCATTTCCTTTAACAAAGCCTTAACAAATATGGCATTGCCGATTTTGTAATTTACTTATCTAACGAAAAATACCATAATATACTATGAATTACATTTAAGATTCGAAAGATGACGTCATTGGACCGAAATTGAAGTGAAACTGGTGAAATTGGATGACAATGGTAGAAGCGGCACAAAAAGTTACCCAGATTCTCAAAATTTCAATTATATTGGATGACGTGTTCCGAAGGTATTACCTGGGAGAAACGTCGTGAGACACCTTTAGCCACTTTCCAGTATGCACATTGGGGCCCTCTGGCGCGCTCCAGAGCACCTCGGGGGCGCCACGCACTAGATTTGTACCGTTCCAGTCTCATGGCGTGAGACGCCTGTCTTAGTGTCAAATATGTCAAATTTTAAAAATAATTATCTGATTGTTTGTGCAGTTTGTTTTTTTATTTATCAAAAATGAAAGAGAATCAAAACTATATATTTTAAAATGTTCAATCTTGAGATATAACAAGAAATAAATAGATAAATAGCCACCCACAGATGTGACAGCTGATAGGTTGACGCGTACGTACAGCTCGGGGGCTCAACGCCCCGAATACCTCCGGGCGTCACACTACCATACGCGGCTCTTGTATAATGATAACTAAACTGTCAAAAAAAAAAGTTATTCAGCTACGAAAAGTGCGTTCGAAAAAAAATACACAAGCTAAAAGAAAACGCTACTGAACACTGAATTTAACCACAAATGTCATTTTTCGATTTTAGGGCTATGTTCCGATATCAACTGTCAGTACCATTGGTCATTACTGAATTTACTGGACGCCGTTCCGATATATTTTCAGTACACTAGCGTTTAAGTTACTAAAATAGAATTCTATTCAAAATGATCTAAGGCCCAAATATCATGACATGGAGTGGAGTCAGAATTATTTTTGGAGTGAAAAGAGCAAAAAAAGTTTTACTCTACCAGTTTGTATTCTGTATTCAGAGCAAATAAAGTGAGATTATTTGCTTAGAGTAGAAAAAGTTTACTCCAAAAGTTTTCAAATTGGGATTGAAAATCACTTGAAAATAACACAATAAATAGAATTCTATTTTCATTGACAGATTGTAACGGAAATAGCTGTCAAAGTATAGGCGGTTACTAGTTACTAAAATAGCATTCTATTCGAAATTATCGGGCCGTGAAATAGATTTTGACATGGAGCGGAGTCAGAACAGTATTATTGGAGTGAAAAGAGCAAAAAAAAATTTACTGTTGGTTCAGATTTTGTATTCGGAGCATATAAAGTGAGATTACTTGTTTAGAATAGAAAAAGTTTACTCGAAACGTTTTTAAATTGGGATTGAAAATAACAATAAATAGAATTCTGTTTTCAATATGACAGATTTTAACGGAAATAGCTAGTACTAACCGAGCGTTCGTTATTTTGGTCCGAGTTCTCCGAGCTTGACTTTACCGTTCGTTTATTTGAAAAGTGTACTCGGTGCAGCCTCATTCGCGTTCGTTTATTAAAATTTCTGGCACTTTTATACAGTGTTCAACTGCTCTGTTCGCTCACTGGTCACGTGATTACGGCTCCGCTCAGCACGCTCTGCTCTTTGAGCAAAATACCGAACGCAAGGTAAGTATTATGAATAGAATTCTATTTTCAATGACAAATTGTAATGAAAATAGCTGTCAAATGATAGGTGTTTGCTAAATAGCTACTAAAATAGAATGCTATTCGGAATGATTTAGGCCCTTAATATTATGACATGGAGCGGAGTTAGAACAGTATTTTTGAAGTTGAAAGAGCAAAAAAAAAGGTTTACAATATTAGTTCCAATTTTGTATCCGGAGCATATAAAGTAAGATTACTTGTTCAGAGTAGAAAAAGTTTACTCCAAATGTTCTCCAGCAATTTCTTTAAAAATCCATTGTGTAATTTCTCTGTTTCCGTATGAAACTTTCCACTATTTTCAGAGATTTTGAAGAAATTCGATTTATTTTAACTTTGTTTTCAATATCCTCATGTTGTAAATTCATTCTGTTCCTACTTTCGAACTCAACCATTCCATTGTCGATTAAAAATTTTTAGAGTTTTCGATTGCTGTTCCGAACTAGAAAAAATTATAAACAAAAACCGAATTTTCGTGACGAAAGTAGTTCATCCAAGGACGAGCCATAGTTCGTCTGGTGACGTCATGAGTTTGAACGCTGGTGCGGGAACATTGATTGTTCGTTATTGAATTAGAACCGGTTCCGGATAGATTTTGAAGTCTTGAACAAAACCGCTTTTGGGTATGAGAATCAATTTCAAATCGGTTCTATTTTTTCTAAAAACCAAAAATCTGTTCCAAACTCGTTCACATTCAAGTAATTTTCAGTGATCTGGATCGATTTTAAAATGATTCCAATTTGGAATAGAACCTTTAGAGTCTACTCTTTTTACGTTTCAATTTCCGATCGTACATAAACTTACTCTATTTACTTCAAAGAAGTCAAGAAAAAATACTATCTTTGAACGATTTGCTTATTTAGAGTACTCCAAATATGGCAAATAGAGTAATTACGTGCATGTTTGAGTTAACTTTCTAATGAATAAATCTACTCGATTTACTCTAAAACAATAGTACAAGTAAACAGAGTTACATTTAGTGCACTAAAACGAAAATCTCAGACCAGATGGAGTATTGTTAACGTTGCTCAATTTATTTCGAACATAAAAAAAAATTACTCTAGTTCCAAAATTAGAGTTCCAACGGCAACAGTAAATAGAATTCTAATAAAAAATGTCAATTGGAACAATGAAATCTTTTCTAGAAAGTCCGCAAACATAACCTACAAAATGCCGGTAATGCAGGCACCTGCAACAATAAATAGAATTCTATTTTTAATGACAGATTATAATGGAAATAGCTGTCGAACGATAAGCGTTTGCTAAAACCTACTTATTGAAATGAAATTTCATTCAAAATTATCTGTTACCTCAAATAGGGAGATTTTGGGCCATAACGTCAACTCCATATTCAGATTTCCATATTAGCGGTTATGGAGCGGATTCACCATTGGAGTAAATAAGATAACAACAGATAGGCAGGTTGCCTGATATATGACGTCATCCGAGGTGCCTCAATATAATGCAAATCTCCATTAGGCACTCCAGATGCGACATCAAGTTACCCATTATCAGACAACCTGGGGCCTACATCTCTAATGCCAATGTTAATGCATGTTAAGGATAAGACACATCACTACTACAAGATAGCTTATCCTCACAAGGCCTGTGTATGTGAATCAAATTTCATGCTTCCCACCATGTTGAAGAACCAGTGATGACATGCAATTCTGTGTAGTAGTAGCACCGGGGCCCGATTCTCGTTTTAGGAAGAGGAGAACCCCCCGAGAGAACGAATTTTTTGTCCTTGTCAACGTAATCGAAAAGTGAACGAGAATGATAAAGAAGAAAAATTTGTTCTCTCGGGGAGCTCTCCCTGAGACGAGAATCGGGCCCCAGGTAGTAGTGTGTATTATGCTTCATGCTAATGCCTCAATTTTATAAATCGAAGCGCTCGTTCCAGTTATGTACACTACAGTGTCCTTATTCTTGAAACAGGGGAGCAGCGTTCCCAGGAGAACGAGTGTTCCGTCTTTGTTACCTATATTGTCAGTTACATATCGTTGAGAAAGACGGAACACCCGTTCTCCTGGGAACGCTGCTCCCCTTTTTCAAGAATAGGGACACAGGCGTCGAAAATACCAGGGACCACATTGGCAGGGCCGTAGCTAGGGGTTGGTCATGGGGGGGCGGGGGGGTTGGGCAAGAAAAAATCGGATTAATTTAGAATCAACCATATTCTTATTTAAAAAAGTGCATATGATCACATTGTTTTTTTTTAGACAGAATCTATTTATGACATCCTTGAAAAAAAAAAGGTTCTTTCCTTCATTAGGTCGAGAAAAGACATGCTGCTTACGTCACAATTGGTGATTTGGCTTAAAATTCCGAAAACTATTGATATTTTGACATTGACGTTATTTTTAGTACATGTGAGCCTTAGGTAAAGGTAAAGAGAAGTAGTAACATGAAGTTGGGAAATGAAGCCGTTTTTTTCCAGGTATTTTGGCAATTCAATGCTTTATCTGTATTTTAGTGCCAAACAACTACTAAAAACTTGGCTTTACTTTAGTTCCATAAGCAGAATGGCACGTTCTTACTCCTTATGTTCGTAGGATAGCACTTTACCTGCTCTAAGATATGAGCATATTGTGAGCGTTTTCACTATAAATGAGGAGCATTTTGATATCTTCGAGTTGGCAACATTGCATGTCATTTTTTGAATAAAAATCCTTGTTGTGCACCGCTGTGACGTCATTAATGGAAGCAAGTAGCTCTATTGTTCTGAATTCTTGGAAGGAATACAACTATTGAGAAGCTGACAGTATTGAAAAATTCAATCGAAATTTTTTTCCTGCTCACGTGACACAAAATGTTATATTATAACAAAGTTTCTAAAGTTAGGTTGTTTTATGGAGATTTGCATTATGTTGAAGCACCCTAGATGACGTCATAAAGTTATCCAGGCAACCTATCTCTATCAAATAACCTTGAGCAGATTTTGTAGATTCGGAAACTATTTGTCGTTGTGGGTTTGGGGGAAATCTGACCATAGTTTTGGAAGTGTTCGGAGCAAGAAAAAAAAAAGATTTTTTTCTGAAAATCCATTAAATATTCTTGATGATATGAATTTTCCCAGATAATCAAGGATAGTTTCTATAAATGTTAATCAAAAAAATCATTGTACTCTATGCGAAAAATTGGTCGCGAATGACGTCATGAAAGTAGAATTCTATTTGTCGTGATCCCAGATTTTTTGGAGCAAAGTCTTAAGCTTAATTCTCACTTACGCGAAATTCGCTCTTTTTTGACATTGCTTCGACAATTTGACGTTTGATACCATACATAAAACGTCAAAGTTTCGAAGCAATGTCAAAAAAAGAGCAAATTTCGTGCAAGTGAGAATAAGGCATTAATAGGCATAGGTAGGGTTGCCATACGTCCGGATTTACCCGGACATGTTTGGGTTTTTAGGGTGTCCGGGGAAGTCCGGCCGGAATTCGGAACAATGTCCGGAAAACTCGGAGATACCCAAGGATGATACACACTACTACTACAGGCCTATCCTCATAAGTGTGTGTGTGTGTGTGTGTAACAAACATTGGTAACAATACCAGTTGTGACGTAGGCAGCATGTTATTTCTCGCCTTGACGTAGGCTGTTTAAACAGCTGATGACGTCGGAAATGGTTTCACAACAATGTGGCGGCATTTACCAGAAACAAAACCGATGAGCACTCCTTAGATGAGTGTGTATTCTCCTTGGGAGGTACCTACCAAAAATTCGAAATTTTGTATCCTGCCACTGTACCAGTTTTATGTTTGGCCAAGTGTACCTATCTATTAATTTCTGTAAAAATATATTTTTGCGAAAAATAAACAAAATTCATCCTTATACAAAATTTAACGGCCATAAGTCCGGATTTCTTGACTCCTAGGTCCTGGATTTCGAATAACCTTTATGGAAACCCTAGGCATAGGGCAACACATTAACCCCTCGACAATTTGACAGCCTAATTGAAGGGGATACACCGGAGGTGGATCAGTCTATTACATGTTAGCAATATATAAAATTTTGTTTAGTGTAATATCATTTCCAGTGCTGCCCTGAAAGTGTTCAAAACAAAAAAATGTCAATCAGTCAAATCCAAAACTGTGATTTTTCTTGTTCTGTATTTAAACTTTTTGAAGTTTCGGACCAAGGTTTCTATTGGTTGTCTGGTAATAGGTAACTTGATGACGTCATTTGTGGTACCTCAAGGAAATTTGGATTATATTGAGGCACCCTAGATAATGTCATAAAGTTATCAAACAACCCAAGTTTCTAAAGGTAATAGGTTGTCTGTGGTAATGGGTAACTGAACGCATCTGGGGTGGATTATAGACATTTGCATTATGTTGAGGCACCTCTGATGACGTCATAAACCTTGGTTTTGGGCAAAAAAATAAAAAAAATTCTTATCAATAGAAAAAATAGTAAATTAATGTTTATATCACAAAGTACATTCATATTCAATCACTCAAGTCGATTATGGCCACTATTACTTCATCTTTCAATCTTTTTTTAAAATAATTATGATCCTCTAAAAAAGGATTCTTTCTTTTTGTAGATTCCTCTACTTCTTCAATCATGCTGCAACAACAAAAAATCAAATCAAAAAATCATTTGAAAAAATAAATTACCTTTCATCTTCAACTTTGATTGGCTGAAGCGGGATCAGCTGAGATTGTTCATCCAATGAAAATTGTTCATTTAATGGAAGTTGTTCATCCAACTCAAATTCTTGAGATTGTTCATCCAATTCATATTCTTGAGGTTGATCAACCAATTCATATTCTTGACTCAACTGAGGTTGTTCATTGTTTTGAGATTTCGATGCCTTCCTGTAATAATACGCTTTGATTCCGGGATTCATAGTTTCCCACGCAATCTTCATCTTTTTTAAAAGTTCCAAATTTGAATCCTCTAAAAAAATCAGGTAAATTGATACAAAAAAAAAACAAACAAAAATTAGTTTACCTGGATGTTTCACTTTAAAATTCTCTCGAAAATCTCTAGAAAACATCATAAAGGCACTACATACTGGTGATTGGTTATCAACATCATCATTATTTGAATCATTTTCATCTTTTAAAAACGAGAAAAGATCACTGTCGGGACTGTCAAGTCTAGGAATCGAATTCAATAGGGCATACATTGCGGAACTTTCATGTATAGGACTGGCTTCCGGGCTGGATTTTAAAGGAACATGAATCAGGATTTCGTCATCAAAGGGTTCTGGGCTTGGGCTTGTTTTTAAAGGATTGGGTGATGTGGGCCTGGAGTAATTTTCTTCTAAGGGATTTGCTGGCCTTGGGCTTGTTTTCACAGGATCAGGTGATATGGGGATTTGGGGATTTTCATTATTTGTTTCATTTGGTATTATTGGACAACTGATTTCATCCTGTCTAGATTCACTTTCTATTGTAACATTTTCTTGTACATTATCATTCTCGTGGCAAGTTTTACTTAATTCTGGTGAAGGAGAATTTGTATTTAATACTTCTGGTGTTGGTTCAATATTTTCAATAATTTGAGGTGGTTCGGGTATGGGACTTATTGTCATTGGGGTATTATCTTCTTGTGACGTAGATGTAGATTTTCTTGTTGAAGTTAAAGGAGTACTACTGTTCCTTAATCTTTTTTTTTTAAGTGTAGGAATGTGTTGCCTCAATCTTTTTTTCAGCAAAGATTTTATTTCATTTGAAGGAGGAGTAAGTCTGAATTCTAATGTACATGGGTTTAACATTAGGGTACTGTCACTTAAATTACCGGAATTTTTTGAAACGTCATTACTATTTAATATTTTCTTTGGTTGTTTTCTCTGAAATAAGGTTTTATGTAAAATATAATATGTTTGACTAAATATATAGTTGCTTTTACCTTAGTGCCTGAATTATGACACAGTCTTTTTGGTTTTTTAGCTGGCTTAATTGTGAGCATGGATCTGGTTTTCTGGGTTTCATTTCTATTAATAAGTGAAAAATTTGTTATTAAAAACTACCTTATTAAAATGGTATAAAAAAATTCTTAATCAATAAATCCTAGAAGTTTCATTGAATTAAGGCATTTAAGCAAAATCAAATTTAAACTCAGCTTAAACTTACAATAAATTTTTAAGTTGTGATTCAACCTTTTCAGTCTCAGAAGGCACTTGACCCTGAACTTCAATGACGTCATTTGTAGTTTTTGTAATGCCCAAACCTATAAACAAAAAGAATTTAATAGTTAATTAAATTTTAATACCTATATTAATTATGAATTCCTGAAAATTTCAAAGATTCCTGAAAGTATTTTTTAAAAAATTTCAAATGTGATGTGTTAAGAATTTTACAAGGGTTTTTTTAAAAAAATCATAATTCTATTTCTGAGGCTCAAATTGACTTTAGATTCCTTGTATTTGAAGAAAAGACTTCAATTATGAATTCCTAAAAGTTTCAAGTTGCTCAGATTCCTGAAACTATTTTTGAAAAAATTCCCAAGTTGATTTGTTAAAAATTTTGCAAAGATTTTTTAAAAAATTCATAAATTTATTTCTGAAGCTCAGACTGACTCAGTGTTGCCAACTGCGCATCAACTATTATAGTATAGAACGCTACAAAATTATAGTACAAAAAGGAGAGTCATAGAAAAATTTCAAATTTTTCCAATAAAAAATGACCCCATTGGAAAATAATAAAAATCAACTAAATTGGGTAAAAATATACTATCTAACATTTTATTTATTTTCTGGAAAACCAACCAAGAAAAAATTATGATATTTTCTAGAGAAAAAGAGGAAAGTCAGGGGCGTATCATAGTAAAATTTCAGATTTTTCCAGTGGAAAATAACCCCATTGGAAATTAATGAAAATTAACTAAATTAGGCATAAATGCACCATCTAACATTTAATTTTTTTTTCTGAAAAACTTTTTAGGGGAAAATTATAACATTTTCTGGAAAAAAAAGAGAAAAGGCAGGTGCGTATCATACTAAAATTTCAAATTTTTCCAAAGAAAAATAACCCCATTGGAAATTAATGAAAATCAACTAAATTAGACATGAATGATTATGACAAGTTGACAAAGTACCTAACAAACTGACACATTTCTGGTGTTATCAATCATGCAACATAACAGATTTCTGTAAAAAACACTATAAAATCTGTTTTTTTTTTTTTAAAGATAAAAGTCAAAATGACATTATGTTGGCAATACAATGTAAAATTGTCAATGCTTTCAAATTTTTTATGTAGGAAAGGCTTGTGTTGCCAACAAAGTTACTAAATTTTTGACTTGGGGAATTATCTTTAAAAAAAAAATAGACTTTAATTATTATAAAAGATTTGAACAAGTGGGTAAAATTGACTTATGAGTGGGTAAAATTGACGTATGAGTGGGTAAAATTGACAAATGAGTGGGTAAAAATTGTTCGATTTCACTACTTAAAATAAAGTGTTACTTTAACAATGAGTTTTGAGTCGATTAAATGATAGTTTACCATTCACGATAGAATAAATTAGATATAAATGCATCATTTAACATTTTATTTTTTTTTCTGGAAAACTATCCACGGGAAAATTATGACATTTTTTGGAAAAAAAGAAAAAAGTCAGGGGCGTATCAGAGTAAAATTTCAAATTTTTTCAGTGGAAAATAACCCTATTGGAAATTAACGAAAATCAACTAAATTAAGTATAAATGCACCATTTTATATACAGGGTGTCCGTTTTAAGTGATACCACTATTGCTATCTCCAAAACGGTAAGAGTTACGAGGTCGGTTAAATTAGAAAAAAGTTGCCCTTTTTGATGCCCATTCAAGATTTGTTTACAGTGTTGTCAAATTCCTTTTAGTTTATGAAATACAGGGTAATTTCTAAGAATAGCCTAAAAATATTTCATCAATTATTTCGAAATCTATTAATTTTCGGGACACAATTTTAATTTGAAAGTTTTATAATTTTTATAGCTCTACAACATGGGATGCTCAAATTCCAAATTTGACGTTTCGTGATTCAGCTACCATCATCAAGTTAATTTTTTTAAATACGGACCTGGGTTTTTTATGTCATTTTTGGAAAGCTCTCTTTATTCCCTTTTAAACGATATACCTCTTAAGCAGTGTTACCAGATTGGGGGATTTTCCCCCAAATTTGGAGGATTTTCAAGTAGATGGGGGAAAATCTGGGGGATAGTTTTTTCTGGGGGATTTTTTGGGGGTAAGAATTGTAAGAATTTTCGCTATTGGGGGAAATCGGGTATATTTCACTGATCTAAAAAATAAATGGCTAAACAATCTTACAGCTCTATTGACTAAATTTTTGCGAAAATTTGGGGTCAATATTCTATGAACAGTTGTGCAACGGAACAGCCTAACGCCTGCGCAGTGTCTCAGCTTTCGAGCAACTGTTCTAAATTTTGAAATTCCTTCGTTTTCATTGGCCAGATTTTGTGCACGCACAGTACATGTATCTACTGCGCACGCTCACAGCTGTCCCAGTCAGTTGTTTTTGTTTACATTATGACCTCGTAAATTAGCAGCATTAGAAGCGTTCTTTGTTTATCCATTTATTTTTGAGATCAGTGGTATATTTCAATAAATAAAACTAAAGGAAAAAATGTATTAAAACAACTGCGCCATCTATTTTTTCAATCAAGTACCAATAAAAAAGATACAGTTTGCTTCTTCTCCAGTGTTGCCAATGGGCGGATTTTAATCTGATTTGCGGATTTTTTTTGGACGATCGGATTTTTTTCGGATTTTGTAATTCAGAGGATTTTTTGCAGATTTTTTTAGATAAAACGAATAAGGGCATGAAATCCCTCCAAAGCACACAAAGCCAACATGGCTGCTATCGCAGTATGCAACAGAAGCGTTTGGTGTGGTTTTGAGGTTATGACAGTGCGTTTTTATTGAAAAACAACTTCCAAAAACGCATTTATTAGACAACTTTTCGCGAGGATAATCAAGTATTATCTGATTAGCTGAATTATCTGATGTGTCAATTGTGTCATACTTCCCTAACTCTCAAACTCTCTCTCCATCAAATGCCGGCGAGTGACTCTCAGCAGGTTATACTGATAATGTCACCTGCAGACCTCGATGTCATGCTTGCGATTCAGGCTATGCTAGTGAGTTCATTTTTTCGTCGATTTTTCCCAGAATTTAATGGTGGGGGAGCTTGGGGTTGTTCTCAGAAAAATATAAACAAATAAAAAAGTGGTGAGGGTATGAGTTTTATTTTAAAATATTCAACGAATCTGTGTTTTTTTTTTTTTTGCAACTATGAGTTGAGAATAAATTTATATTTATTTGGGGGATTTTAGTTGACAAACAGTGATTTTTGGGGTATTTTTGAAATCCTTTGATGGAAATTAGTTGTAACCATCTGGCAACCCTGCTCTTAAGCATGATTGGCCGACGTTTCTGCTCTAAAAACTTATCATCAGTGATTTATACCAAAATTTTACCTCAATTTGGCCCTGGAATTCGTTATTTGTAACAAAGGCGGTCTAACAAGTACTTTTTTCTTTTTATTTAGAACACTTACGGCTATTTGCACCGCTATAACTTAAGGGATATTCAATCTAAATGGAACTTTGAAAGTGACTCTTGTAGAAAAAAAAGTCATATTCAAAATTCCACTTAGATTAAATATCCCTTAAGTTATACTTACCCATGCGAATAGCCATTACAATTATCTAATTATGAACACTATTGAAAATAATGACTAAGAAACTAATTATTATGGTAAATATGTACTCAAATTGACGTCCATTATTCCTTAAGCATAATCTGTAATTTTTCATAATTTTTTTTCCCATCCCAAGAATTGCGACTGATTGCCAATGATTTTCAGATATTTTTGTATGATTACCAGGTGATTTGCATTTTTTCTGTGGATTCCTATATCGTTCCTTATTGATTTCCTTGATAATTTCTTACAATCATCCGATTTCCAGCTGATTTTATTACGGAAACGATGTCTAATTATTAAGCTTCGCATTAATATGACCAAAATAAACAGTCTTTTCTCTTATAAGAACAAGTTTCCAGTGAAAAATTGGCAACTTCTGTATTTGCAACTCGTCCAAAAGTTGGCAACTTTTATTTTCATGGTTTTCCACACCCACACCGATTTCGTTGTAGGTATAAATAGTTGTTGAGCTCTAGATACCATTGCGTGCCTACACTGCATAATATGGATCTAAAATACCTAATGGATATCTCCTGGATTTCACTAGGATGTTCATCTAAATCAGAGACATCTTCAGTTAGGGTTTCACTCGACAAACTTATTTCTGATTCAGATGTGCTATCGTCTCTACTTCTCGTTCTGTCTAGTATTTATTCTACTTTCCATTTTCAAGTTATTATTACCTTGGATTCCCGACTTTTTCGTTTGTGTCTTTCTCAGGGTCATTCAGTCTTCTTTTGGGAAGTCCGATTCGAGAGAGGTTTCTAGATTCATGTTTTCATCAAATACACAACTGACCGGTACGCTGTATGGTTTAAAATGCATGATATGCATTTTTTGGATTAGAATGAGATGATTTCCCAGTGATTACCACATGATTCTCAGCGATTGCCAATGGATTCCCATGTGATTCTCATGAAGGATTTCCATGGAGTCCTAGGAGATTCCTAGCGAATTCCAGGTTATTCCCAGAGACTCCCAAGTGATTTCCATGTATTCCTGATTAACTTCTATGTGATCCCCAAAAAAACTTACCTACAATGATTTCCACTAGTGGTTTACTCCTCATTAAATTCAATTTCGCAGCCGGCACACCTTACGTGCAAAATGTGAAAAATCTACTTACATAATTTTTATATTTGTACAAAAAATAGTGTGTATACGATGACCACGGAACTTTTTAGCATTTTCTCTATGTCCGCTAAAAAGGCATTTCGCGGCCTTGGTATACAAATAACTATTATTTATTCTAGCACATGCAGCCCTTATCCTCTCTATGAAATCTTCTAATGTATTTTTGTAAACTCCATAATGAAAATCAATGTACTCTTCCTTATTTAAAAATTATTATACCTAAAATGGATAAATAATAAAAAAATGCTTTGACAGGTTGCACAGCTGTCAATTTCAATTCTTTCAAGGCATTCTTTGATACAATTTATTTATATTCTATATCAGTGATGCCAACCTGAATTTGAGAAATTACAATAATATGTAATTAGTTTCTAAGTAATTATTTTAATTA